CGACAAAGGTTCCCATTTGGCATTTCTTGTGTCTGGAGTAAACATTCAACATTATAAACATCGATCAGAGGATTAACCGATAACACGCTGATTGATTAATTACTTTTATCTTACACAGCGGAATTGTCAAAAGGTAGTGTTTATGTATGTAGATTTACTAATCTATACTGAATACACTCTGTCGTGTCGGTGTCTGCGTAAAAACAACGTCCTTCTTTCAAAGGATTAACCGGCAATACATTGATTGATTGCCCATTATTGGCTAACTAAATTACTGTTTTTAAAGAAAGGCGGAAATTATGCAATTAGTTGCCAGGTGTGCTATCTTGGGTGACCAATGAGACTATACACCAATACCTGAAAAGATTTATCACTTTTTCGTATATTAAACTGTTAAAAGACACATCATTTGGAACAGTTTTGTGGATATTGATGGATACATTCCTCGAACAAGGTAATGGCCTGATATTGTTCCTATAACTTTAGTCTGTTTTAATTTTAATATTTGCATTTTGTTTTTATTCATTTGTCGTAGCATTCAACAGAATCATTGTTTTCGCCGTGAAGTGTAATGAGACAGACAACATGCACTAGGGTGTGTGTGCGAATTGTGATTCACATTGGCAAACTATAAAATGTCTAGATATTACAGTTCTGTTATATATTCACTATAAGTATCAGCAGATCGTCAGCTTTTTATTTAGTTTCAAAATGCATACAAGTGTGATAATAAACTAATTAGGATTACAAGACCAAATATAAAGACGCACATTGACTAGTAGAAAGAAATTTATCGCGCAGTATTGTGACTTCGACCCCCACCTCGCTTCCGTGGAAGAAATCGTTATGTTATAAGTTGTGTCATGCAAAATCCGTTTGGTTATGATTCCAATACATATTTAACTACGAGTAGAAAGTAGTCTTGATTTTCTAACTTGATGAAAACAAACTATAATCTCATTAATTCTAACATTAATTTTTTTATTTTTTAAAATGGCGGCGCCCTGTCGGGAACATCCGCCAGTCTGAGGATAAATGGTATTTAGGTTTGTTTTCACCGAGTTACAAATCAAAACTACTTTCTACTGGTAGTAAAAATATGTATTTTATTGATGGCCAATAGGATTTTGCATGACATAGCGTATATCATAACAATTTCTCTCGTGGCAGCGAGGTGGGTGTCAATATAATACTACTTACAATATTATTGTTACTTCGACCACAACCTCACTTCCGAGGAAGAAATCGTTATGTTACAAGTTGTGTCATAGAAAATCTTTATGGTCATCAATCATATGCATATTTTACTACAACTAGTAAGTAGTTTTGATTCTTTAACTTCCGTGAAGCGATCTGAACACAAGTAAGATATCGTTTCAGGCTTCCACAACGCTCGCTTCGCACTCACAAACATAACCCATTTAGCACGAACTGCGGGGTCCTGTGGAAATCTGTGCATGGGGACACCATCGCCCGACCCTAGGAGCAATTGACGACAAAGCAACGATTCGGCATGTCGTCGTTGATGTCGAGAAATCATCAAAATGATGAGCGTGCTACACATTTTCTATACAACTAACTGAAAATCGTTCCTCATATGACGTCACTGCAGTGCTCTGGCGACAGAGTTACGTAACCTGTCTGTGGTTTCGTTGGCGGGCGAGAGGGAAGCAGGCGACTTTTTGGCCACTTTTAATCGCTCGGTATTAATTAACCACAAGTTTTTAAAGAATAAATTTGGTGTTCCGCATAAGACTAACCACAAATCTTTCATATGTAATGGTTAAAAGAGTAACAAAAAACAAAGTTTATTGGTTCTTTAAACACAACCTACTCAAATACCTAGAAAACCCTTCATAACGAAAACCACCACTTCATGCATCTTGAGAGTGAAGTAAATTCCTTTCAGTTTCTTGTATGACACAGGTAATACACCGTCACAGCAATTAGCACCTGGATGATTCGTGTTTAGAATTTCTATTTATAGCTATAAACAGGAAGTGATGCTCAAATGGTTTCACAGGTATGCGTGGTAAATGCTTTCCAGCATATTCTATCTATGTTTTCTGAATCTGGTTGAAGTATAACAAGGTAAGTATTTACAGAATTCAGCTGCAGATATATAGGCATTCGTGTGTGTTTATTTTAGAATATCAAATAGCAGTGGAACCAATATTGCAGAACTATTCTCTTACCGTGAAGAGTATTATGAGAATAAGAAAATCACCCAGTTCTTATATATTTATAAAAAATATTTGGAAGGAGCGGATTTTTTTAAGATTTTCAAAATGTATTGAGGTAATACATACCACGTTATGAATGCTAAGCTTTGACTGAAATGTTTGTTGTGGAATCCGAGAAACGTGTTGACCTCTCAGGTGAACAGGTATAGTATGTTTTGGACTGAGTTGAAATATGATGCCGCGTCGACCGTATTTCAGCCATTTTGTGACTTATGTACTTATGTGTTATTTAAAGTGAGAAAAATATTCGGCTTAAAAATACAGAAACGTTAGAACGAGCAGTACACAGAACACTTCACGATGTTTCTCTATATAGTAAAGCTGCACTGAATACATGGCGCTGGTGAAACTCGTGGCGAGCAATGTGAGTAACGGGATTTGGGTGGTTGGACTCACTGACTTGGTTAATGAATGTCATCGTAACCAATTTTCGTAGACTGTTGGTCATGAAGTCAATCACAGGGTTGTCAGGTCGAGACTCGATTACTTTAAAAAAATACTGATTACAGCTGGAATACGGATGATGGAAAATCTTCACTAGTACGGTTTCCAGCTCGAAAGATTAATATATTTTGGCACGATCTAAAATATAAGTACTCACACCTCAAAGCAGGTGTCTTACAAAATGAATCGTTATGCATTTGGCGTTAGATTATGACGCATGCTCTTTGCTGAAATATATAAAGTGCAAAGCAGATTCAAATCGGGGATCTATAAGGAAAAGCACTACTAAACAGCTCGTAGCTCTGCAAGTCAAAACGTTTATAAGGGGCAGCAGAGAATACTGTTACATCCGCTAGGTTTTAATATGCTTGCAATATTGATTCACATATTATAACCTTCTGGTGAATCGATCCCGCCTTCGGGGTGACGAGTGAACACTCTAACCACAAGGCTATAGGTCTTTGGAACAAAATAAACAAAAAAATGGATTATCCGAGATTGTATTAAAGGTAACTTTTATAGTGTTAGACTGGCACCTGAGCTAACAAACTCATGGATTCCCATCCGTGTTGTTCAACACCTGGTCAGTAGACTTCATATTACCGAGCCAAGCTGGCATTTCGTCTGTAACTGCTGCAGAAATGTACATTGGTGATACATCCTGCTGTGCCGACTTGGAAACATGGGGCATGTGTGTGATCTGTATATAATCTTCTGAAACAGTTACCTATGTGGCTGGCTCATGCTGGATGTTGGTTTGTTGTTTAACGCCCCACTCAGCAATATTCAAACTATATGGCGGCAGTCTATAAATAGTGGACTAGACAATCCAGTGATCAACAGCAAGAGCATCGATATAGGCAATTGGGATACGATGACATGGGTCAGCGAGCTTGACCATCCGATCCCGTTAGTCCTTCTTAAAAGTACTGGTTGCTTAAGACCAATTCTAACCCGGATCTTCAAGGATCTTGGTGCAGAGAAGGCGTCAGTCTCCAATTACTCAAGGCTCTCAAGAGGGAACGGGGTGTCACAAGTAAATTTGGGACCTTTAGCCAGGAACCTTTCGGCTTTCTAGTAAAAAACACATGCGAAGAACGGACAAGCTGTCCAAAATCATGAATATACGATCGCAAAATGTCTGTCAGAGAAACACGGTGACCACCGGTACTGCCTTTCTTCACAAATAGTAAAAACGGGGTTATGCAGTCCCAGTTGTGTATACAACATTTTTTTTAATTTAAGCACCATTACGATAAGCAACAAGGTTTTAATTTTGATTAAGCAGCTGTTCGTTTATTGACATTTAAGATTAATCTTTTGCGATATGATGTGCATCTTACGGACACGGCAGTATGTTTTCGTTGTTTAACACGAAGCCAGAACCCATACATTAAATGAGGATTGGATGGTCACCTTTGGTGAATTGGCTGTCTGAAAAATAGTAACAGTAAAATGTTGCCGACAATAATGTCACAGCAAATAAACATTAACACAACACAGGCATTAAATGCAGTTTATTTTCAAATAGATTACACATTACACAGCCTTGTACATAGACTGTTATTGAAGTGACCAGTACAATCATTGCATGTTACAAGTAAGACTTTTCGCATATCACAGTCAGTCTAGGGTATTAAACAAACACATTATGGAAACTCACTGAAGAAGTAATACTGTTGACAAACCTGATCTCTACAACAATTTCACAAAGACTTTGGTTGGTTTGTTGAATTACACCAAACTCAGCAATATTCCAGCTATTTGGCAGCTCACAAAAGCACACACTGACCTGTATATATAATATCTATGTAATTATAATATTACCCATTTCCTTTGTAATTTACACATTTACATGTATGTACATGATATATATATTTTTTTTACAGTCACAGTGATAGAAAAAGTAAACTTAAAATTTGCTGAGCTTCTGCTTATTACACACAAATGCCTACAGATCAATAAACCAGTAATACAGGAAGCCATGAAGGTCAAGATCCACTTGCACAAAGCGATTTTAGAACTATGATGCTCCCTATGATAAAGTATAGGAGATACAATCACCTTTGCGATAAGATAGCTTTGTGCAAGTGGACCCTGGTTTACAATTGGTCCTCGGCAATGCTTGTTGTAAGATGCAGCTAACGGACTTGCTGATCATACATGCTGACCTATCCTCGTGAAGCAATCACTGCATTGTCTGGTCCAGATTCAGTTTTTTACAGACCTCTATCTTAAAGCAGCATTAAACAAACAAAAATAGTCGCATTAAAAGAAATATATACTGTTCAATGAAAATATCAAAACCGTTGTTAAAATAGAGTAAATGTTGTTTTATGCCTGAGTAAGCAATATTCAAGTTATTTCACACAAGCCGGTAAATAATCTAATCACAGCCAAGGAAACCAAAGGTTGACAGTATAAGCATCACAATCACAATCCCTTTGTCAGTCAACTATTATAACAAGCATCATCTAAAGTGAAGATAAGCATGCCCTGCAATATGGAAAAATAATCATATCTTTTAAGATACTAAGACACAAACATCTTTCTCGTCATTTCCCACTTTCTTCAAAACAAATCACATCAAAATAACAAGCGTGGCTTCAAAATCAGAAAAACTGTCAATGTTTATATAGATCAAATGATACAATATTTACAATAAATGGTTAAAACAGAGATCTGTATCATGATTATTCTGGATAAATAACTCTGTACGTCAAGTTGATCCTTGGACCCCTGTCGTGATACTCCCTAGGAACCCGATGCTGAAACAGTGATACACACATGAAAACAAGACTGAGCAACTCATCTCATTGATAGATACATGATGCTTGCTGAATGAGTGAGTGACAAAGTGAGACGTTTTCAGTTTTCTGAGGACTTGAAAATTTAGTAGTGGAGGCCATTAACATATCTGCCTCTGGAGCTGACAGACAAAGTATCCAAACCAAGGCTTCATTTCTAATGAAGCTATGTCTAATTTCAAAATGGGCATTTAAAAAGTGTCCTTTTTAATACAACATCATCCCACACTAATTAGCATAAAGCCATGGTCTGTTCCAAATAAGTCGACTTGGACTTAGAAAAAAGCCACATTGCTCATTTCTGCACTAATCTCTCCTCAGTAAAGTCCGATATTTACCTTTCCTATCTCCCTACCACCGAGACTGTAGTTTGGCCGAACTTAGTTTAACAGATATTTCACATATTAACTACATAAATTGTGGATATAAATGTGAAAAAAAGAAGGTTTTTTTCTATTTCCGACAGTACTTTAGTGCTCCTTCACCTGATGAAGGAGTAAGAATATACTCTGAAACATCATGTTACAGAAGTTGACATCTAAACATTTTGACCTTTATTGCAAAACATAGATGTTTCAATCACTTACATTTTACATTTGAAATTAAACGTGAGTTTTCGGATGTCACACTTGGTTTTGAATCCAAATTAACAGTGTTACATCAGCACGTGACATGGACCTAATCTGTCTACACGCTCGATCTATAATTCTGTTTCGGTGAGTGGCTCCCTGATGACAAAATTAAATGCAGAAGCCAAGGTTAGAACTGAACTCAAAAGCTGTACTAGCTTGTATTTTAGTTGTATTGTTGAAACAATGGGAAATTTGTACTAGCCCACAGGTATTTGTTCCTGCCTCAGGCTGATAGGCTAGAGTTAAATTCTAACCAATAACAGCTGATCTCAAAAATAGCCACCAAATGACTTACATGCCAGTCGTCCTGTGTGGCTCCCTCCATGATGAGCAGAGATCCTGGGGAGAGGGGCACACGGATCAGCTGAGACAAGGCAGGATCCTCACCCTGAGGGGCACAAACAACACCAACATTAGAATAGTTTCTAGGGTAACAAAAGAGTATCAGTTTCAAATGTGTGAAATAAATCAGATGATCATGATGATGGAAAAAAGTATTTCTTTTAGACACAAACAAAAGGTTTACACACAATGTGATCATTTTATTTCATAATGACCAGCTCTTACAACAAAGTTATTACCTCCCTTTACAGACAGGTCTATGCAAAGTTTAGAAAGAGTAATTCAACATGCTCAAAACGTGTCTAATTAAAACTATGCATATTTTGAACCTCTTTATTGTAGGTTGCTCTGTTCTTTAATCACAAGAGTCTTCAAATAAATGAAACTTTTTTTCAGACCAATAATTCGACTCCTGCTTTGGAGAAAGACAAACTTCACAGGACTTGACAGAGAATACTTGCAATATTACAGTCACAATTAGAACTGACTAGAAAGTTTATTTTGCCATTTTTAGTTTCTAGGAGACAAGTTGGCAGCTTCCTATGCATACTTGATCACTTCGATCAATTTTCATATTGTAATGAAAACATGTACAAAATTCTAAGAAAAATAAACAAACATTCCCAGGTGCTTACTTGTGCAGGTTTCTTTCTCAACTCAAAGTTCCTGACATCTCCGAAAGACAATGAAGCTATGGTAGGATTTTCCCCAAGTGACTTTTCATCATCAGCATGCCAGGCAACGCTGTCATGTCCGTCTCGGTACAGGTTGGCTAGGACAGAGTTGAAAGTCAGACCGGTCGCTTCCTCCAGGTGCTGCTTCAACAGCCTCATCACGGCAGGCCACTGGCAGGAGACAAGCGCATGTGTAGTTATAGGCGCTGATCACGACATTTGCTGGTCTATACTAACATCATGAAAAATAGTTGGGTTTTTCTAAGGAAATGTATCTCTAAAAATTAAATCAATATGCTGCAATGAAGATGTCCAAGTGTAAGAAACAGAGTCATTGTATGCTACTGTGGTAGGTGAATATTTGCACAGTCAGCATAATTGCAGCAAATAGACAGTATTTAGTTCCAATTTTAATTCATAAAGGTATATTCAGCAGTAGAACCTGTCAAATAAATGAATGATATTTAATTTGTGACTCAGTGTCACTGTATTTGACTGTTTTACTAGCTGTAAGAAAATGCAATCTCCATGCACTGTAGAAATGGTAGCCTACATCTTTGTTAACATCCAGTTTAACGCCTGAGTAGGAGTAGGACAGGTCCCCAAACCATGCAGTGAGCCGAGGCTGCAGGTACTGTTCCCCGTTGTAGGAATCAGATCGTTGCCGCCAGGGACACTCCTCAAACAGCTGATCAAACATTCCTTTGGCCTCCGTCGGATCAATAAAACATGGGAAATACCTCAGTCTGAAAGCAGATTACAAGTAACTGCACTAATCATAGCAATTGATCCCTTCTATTCAAATTTATATATACAAAATAGGTTGAAAATACATGTCAATTTTTTTAACATAAAATACCAATGATTATTGTGATGAGGGTTGATTTACCAAGCTGGAATAGGCCCAAAATGACGTTAAGCATCTTGTCTGCTGGTATAAGTATTGAATACATTCACTGTATTTAACCATGTTAACTTTTTCTTGGATAGACATTTTTAACCAGGATCACAGGTCCTATAAACATGTGTGCAAATCATTAAGCAAATACAAAAATGTGCATTAACATACTACCCTCAATTTCTACTAACCATGCTATCAAACATACAATTCAATTTGTGCCTCGAAGAATGTAGTATGCAATATGGAATCTGATGTAAATTTGAAATTAGTCAAATTTTGGTTAGGAAATATCTTTGACAGTTTTGTCTGTGATTTTTCTGTCATTTCCATTTACTAAAAAAAGGAAACAATTAGTATTCTGGAACATATTCTTAAAACAATAAATGTAATCAATTACCTAGAAACTCCAGATGGCCCACTGCTAATGTCATAAACTCCAGCTTTCCTGAAACAAGTTCAATCATTTTGTTGTAAGAATGCAGTGAGTTAGTTTGGATATACATCTCTTTTGTTTTATTCCAGCCATATCAACTGAATACAAAGAATAGGCTTCACACATTGTCCCCCATATCATTTCTACCTTGAAAGTTTAGTTTATGGGGCACCTGGCTTAAAAATACTTTAATCACATGAGTAGGGACACCTAGTTAGATATCCTTTAGTGTAGGGCAGGACTGAAGCCCTGGAACCTCTCCAGGATTCAAGCTGCCTTATGTGCTCACTCATCCAAATAATCTCCATCATCAGAATAGATTACTTCAACTGATTTGAGATCTGGACTTCATGTAACACACTTATAAAACCATATTCACTTACGTAATAACTTGATCTGGCGGTTTCTGCCTAATCTGAAAAATTATTAAAAATGCTTACTGTATTGATGATAATGCTTCTTTTTCTGTGAGACAACAATAAACATGACACAGTTGAGTTGACATGTACAGTTTAAAGTGATGTACTAAAGCTTCATGGACAGCTGTAATTTGATCAACCTCAATGTTTGTTGTTCAAAGCCAGATGCTGCAACACTAAACTTGCTAAAGTTTCAAACATTTTCATACTGGAATGTTAGTAGAAGGCAGGACCAGACAAACCAGTGATAGACATTAGATATAAGCAACGATCCACGCCACCATTGGAATCAGACTTACAAGAAATCCTATCTACCAGGGAGACCCCCCCCCCCAATTATTTTTTTTAAATTAACTATTGATACAAGGGCAGTGGCCCATTCTAAATTCAGAAAATGACTAATAATCCTGAAAATGCCCATTGTTAAAGTTCTCTACCCCAATCCCTGCCCCACACACCGCTTTACCTCGTCAGTCTCCTCGAAAACAAACTTCTTTTCTGGGCTTTGAGAACCTTGGTCGATATTTTTACCCATCCATGCTGGTCCTGATGGCATTTTAGGTTTATCTCTGTCAGATCTTACATTGGATACTGATGGCGGGGCCCAGCCACCCTGTACACGAGCCCTCCTTCTCTTGTCAGCGTTCATTGTTTTTCCGCTATAGACTTGTCCGTGTTTTGTTACTCACAGGCGGCCATATTTGACACCGGAAATAGTTTAAAAGAGTGATTGCTCCGGAAAGTCGAAAGGTTGTATTTCATATTGTAACTAGTTAGGATAGGAAACATTACTTAATTGTTGTGTAAAACAAATTTATACATGCTTAGGTTTTCAGGAAATACACAACAAGGCTGAAATATGCATGATGCATGAAATGAAACAATACCATGTTCGTGTTTTATTTGCAGTTTACTCACAATCTTAGTTTTCATTTATTTGTAGCACGGAAGAGGAACCAGACGATAATATTTATAAGTGTAAGTATCTACAATACAGGTCATAATTTGTTTACTAATATCATTAAAGTCACTCATTGCTGCAGGAGTTTATCATGATTATTCCACAGGGGCTGGTAACGCGCAATAAACAGGCGTCAAGGTATACACTGTACTGGCGAAGTCTTATTCTTAACACAATATGTAGATGTCTATATCCTTTAATCATGTAAATATAGTGCTAATTCAGTGATAGTGACAATATGTACATTGATGGCTGTTGTGTTTTGTTTTTGGTTTTTTTCTAGCTACAAGCGCCAGTGGATTATTTATTATACGGCCTTACCACAGTAGATCTAAATCATTGTACCTCTGAAGTAAAAATACATGTGATTATAAATGATTTTTCTTGATAGTGACTATGGGTTCTGACCAGAGCAGTCTGCCAGCAGGTGCGCCTGGAAGCACAATTCGCTCTCAGAGAGATGAAGAAATCCCCTACACTCAGTTCTCTATCAGCAAACCTATTGATGGAGGTAATGCTCTGATTTTACACCATTGTCACACATTTGGGTAGCAATGAGCAGCTTACAGTAGCACTAATAGGTTGCTCAGACTGCCTACTGTGGCTAATGGTTCACAGATCTTCCATGCCTCTTCAGTTTTTAGGAATAGTTGTTAGGGAAGGTAGGTTACCTGCACATCCTCTTTAGCCCTTGGCTCTCCTTTCCAATCAAACATCTCATTTGTGATCATTAGGGTTAGGTATTCCTTTCTGATCAAACACATCCTCAGGTTCAGTGCCAAAATTATACTGTATGGTCCTTTTGGTTAGGAATGATAAAATGCAGAGTTAAGATACCTCTGTAGAAATGAAAATGAGGACTTTGTAAAAAAAATCACAGTTTTAGAACAAAATTACTTTTTCCCTAATTTTTCTGCACGTTGTTTTGAATCATGGATAAATCTCAGCATATACTCTAAGAACTTCGATATCAGCATTCAAAAGCTGCCACAACATGGATAAGAAGGAATTATGATCATGTGGAAGGGGAAATGGTGGCCATTGGTTCCTGAAGTTTCATTATCATACTGATTGAAGAATAATAATGAAGAGTATTTTAAATTACCAACTTCATGTTCTCTTTACAGTTTTTAGAAGTATGTTTATAAATGATTTTCCACCAAATGCTGTAATTACACATGTGCGCTCATAATTGTTATGGACATGGAGTTAGGTATGTTGTGATACTGGTTCTGATTTAACTCTTGACTATACCACAATCTCCAGATTCACCTCGACAGTCACCACGGGTACAAAAACACAAAGTACAACAGAACAAGGACAAAGAGAGTACCCCCAAACATGACATAGTGGTAGTTGCTGAAGGACAGGTCCCCATCAAAGACCCTGATCCAGAGCTGACGAAACTCAACACCATCCCCGTGTTCTTCCCCATCATGAGGGGCTCGCTGAATGTTCCGGTCAGCTCCAGGGATTTGGAGATGCTGGACAAGCTAGACTACAGACAACTGTTGTTCCTGTCTCTCCGATATCAGGAACATCTCAAGCAGCTATCAGAAGCTGTGGCTTTTGATCAGAATGCTTTGTGTATTAGAATTAAAGAGGTAGGTCAGTTCTCTATAAGGAATATGTATCAGCAGCTGAATACTGAAAATGTGATCCAGCTCTTTTGCAGAGTTTGATTCTGATGAAGGCCAGTGGTTAATATGGCATCTAAGGCCAAAGATTGTTGCATTAGGCAATACTGGACATTGTATACTGTCAGGGGCGGATCCAGAGGTGGGGTGCAGGAGTGTGCATCCCCCCTCTCCCCTGAAAAGATTTCCCCGAGGACCATTTCCCCTTAGTTTTGGACTTCATGATTTATGTGCATCCACCCCTTCTCCAAAATCCTGGATCTGCCCCTCTCAGTTCAGGCACTGTTAGTTACCCATTGTATGGACAAGACGTGTGAAGCACTATACAAGGCAAGGAAAGGTAATTTTGATATAGATATACCATTACCGTGATTATCTCCCCTTCATCATGCTGGTCAAAGTAGTGATTTTTGCGGAAGACAATTTAACAGTGGAACATGATAGGTGTTTTGTGTCTCCTGCATGGGAACATTTTGCAGTACATTCTTCAGTATCATCCCAAAATTGGAATATAATTTTATGCTTGTTAAGAACCATTTGAAACATGATTGGTATTCCTAGGAAATGAACTGATTTGAAAGACTGCAAAGAATAATAGGGCTGTAGTAAGTGAGTGGTAAAAATCGTTACTGTGCAACAACTGAACAAGTCCAACGAGTTTCATCACCTTGATGCATGCATCACTATTTGAGTTGACAATGTTCTGATTCTGCAACATCTTTAGATTGCCCTGGAAACTGCCTGTAGAGGTTTACTTGAGCATGTATCAGTGACTTGAAAAAGGTGCGCTTAAAATATCCATTATTATTATTATTATCATTATTAAAAGGAAAACCTAGTGAGACAATAGAGTGACGTCACCGGAGGTTTACAAGTTCAGTTATGACTCAGGTTTTTATAAAAGTAGACAGATTATTGAAGATACTTAAGAAATAGATAGTTATAATGTGTGTTTTTGATGTTTCAGATTCACCATACCATCAATGTACTCCACACAGCATTAGCTGAGAGACAGAAGAAGTACAACAAGTACGCTGAACAGTTTAACCGGGTACATGAAACGTTATCTGTACTGAAGAAGATCAGGCTGAGGATGGAAGATATTGGTCCCAAAATGGACAGACTAAATAAACTCTTACCTCCCGGCGATCAGTTGGAACCCTTTAATATGAAGCTTCAAAAACCTCAGTCCTGATCGGATACGAAGGAAAGGACTTGTAAGATTGACTGTGATTCGACAATGTGTGTTTCCTGATCGGAACTGTTTGTCTTTCAATTTGCACATTAAGATGTATATTGCATGCTTTGTATATTTCAGTGCAATGATAGATTAATTTGAAGATGCCAAATAATATGTCCGTAAGTACATGTACTTGTAATGCAGTTTTGTTCTCATGTATTTGTTGTTTTGTAATGTTTATAGTGCTTGTAGCCATGGTAACAGTGCCTCACTGTTCACGGAAACATTGTTAATATGTATATCACCTGTATGACAGACATATGACCATGAATTAAATATCGAAATATGTTGTCTGTTAAATATTTGATAATGCTGAAACAGTTTCCATGTTTTATGGATAAGACTATCCTAAATTTTGTATATCAGCTACACCTTCGGATTAAAAATGGTTCGGTGTTTATCAAAATATACACCTTTATGAACATGATGAAACAGATCTTTAGCGATAATTTTGTAACCTGACGTCAAGACTGACTTGTTTTTCTTTTGCCTCCAGCTTTATGTCATATAGACCACTCAAAAATGATTCAAGAAGTATGTACATTGTTTTTCACATTTTTCTCATTGCAACTGGAAAAGTTCAAATTACCATGGTTACTCATCGAATGTTATCAGTCTGGTCACATTTGTCTTGTTTCATTCAGTGTAATGATGACGATAGATATTGTATGCCTATAGGAGTAATTGAGCATTCATTCACATGACTGCTTGTTCTTAAGAATAACGATACTGTTTAGAAAGGTAGCTATTTTGCAAATGCTTTTTCACAGTGCTGTAGGTCTTTGAATGTTTTACTTGCATTCTAGAAATTAGCGAGTAAATGAGAAACTGTGCCACTTCACAGATAACAAGTGTATTCCATTTAACGCCATTTTGACAGATTCTTAAACTGTTATTAAGCTGTAGTGACTTCTGCCAGGTAATGAGTCGAGGTATGTCTGCATGACGTGATTGGTATGCAGCTGAATAACATTAACAACAGGTACTGGATAACAAGTAACAGATAATTGGCTGTAGTCAGATGAAAAGGAAGAATATCAACTCCTCTCTGTAAATCTGGTTTCATTATATGCTGTCAAAGGTGTAGTCTGGACAAAACGAATTGTAAAGTACATACTGAAACTAATGTGTTGATATCAGTATATTTCACAGCTGTTGTGCTGATGTGATAATAATTGATAATGTGAACTAATATCTAACATTTAATGAATGTGTAGCAATGGGTTGTAGTCAAATGGGCCGAAGGACAAAAGGTCGGAAAAAAGTCAAATGGGCCAAGGCCAAAAGTCAAAAGAGCCGAAATCAAAAGTCAAAAGGGCGAAAAAAGGTCCGAAAATTAAAAAATTAATAAATTACATAATAAAATAGTGTAAATAGTATTTAGTTTGTGAGTAGTACTTCCTATTGATTGATTGCTAATTAGTAGTTAATTGGACCCTAACTGTTAACAAACTTCCTTAATTGTTAATTGGAGATGTTAACAAATCGAATTGATTCTTAATTAGATCAATTAACCTTCTTGTTGTTGTTATAGGTGAAGAAGGCTGCAACACAAGACCTGTTTAAGTCTGCCAGGTTTAAGTCTGATATTGTTATGATATCATGTTTTAATGCTATATATGTCAATAAAAAATGAAAGACATTTGTAAACTTTTTTTTGTGTTCAGCCCATATGACTAAGAATGAGGCCCTTTTGACATTTTTTCATGGCCCATTTGACTTTTTCCACGGTCCATTTGACTTTTTCCATCGGCCCATTTGACTTGGCACTTCTCGGCCCATTTGACTAGATCCCGTAGTAATAAGGCCATTGACAATTACATTGCCTTTATGGACAGACAATTCTTTAAACCTGTGTTCATGCACACATGAAAGTCCATCTCTCAGTTCTGACGTGGTTGACATGGTTGATTCAGCTTCATAGTATCTGTATACTGCTACCATTGACAGACATAGATGGGAGTAATGGGATGGGACTTCACCATTGATCATCAGCTACCATCAGTTTATTATCAGAAGGTAAAGAATGCCTATATACAGGGCTCGATTAAGGAAATCAAACCTATTTGATAACTCTGTTGCTTCAAACAAAACCAGGTTGCTGCTCGATAGAAAATTTCACATAAGAAGTCTTGTTATTGATGATTCAGAACACCATTATAATAAAATTATTCTGTGTCTGAATAAATCATTGTATCTTCATAATATTTCATGACATGAACATTAAGTCATTCAATCACTGTCCATGTGGTCATCAGTCACTGCTTCAAGCCAGTTCCTCATTTTTCTTTTTTCAGCTAAAGTCTTGTCTTCTTTGAATTGCAAAATATTAAGATGCACTGGGGGCAAGTTGGTATTAAAAATGATGTTGCAGTTTGCAGTTTCAGGTTGCACTAGTGCAACTTCTGAATAGTTAAACTGAGCCCTGATATATTATATTTTTTAGTACATCTCACTCACATTGTAGTATCTGTGTTTGTCAAGATACAATGTTGGAAATCTTGTTTTTCTTTGAATGCTTTGGTTGCAAAATATTGATCAGTGTTAATGTGTCATTATGTTCGATTTAGTGATTGGTTGTACATTTGATATGAAGACTTTTCTCCACACATTCCATTCTGGCCATTCACTAGTCATCACTGCCTGGATGCAGGGTGGCTGATTAATCAATTATAATTACTCACCGGGTCATTGTTAATGCCTTCATCTTCCTGTACTGATTCTCTGTAATTAATGAGGTGGAGGTTTCTGGAGATTCCTGGAACTAATTGGTCATCATAATCCACTATTATGAGATTCGCATAATAAGAGTTACTGGACTGTCTCCTCCAGACTAGACTATTGCAAGTTTGTGGTGATGTAGCCTTGACATGGGAACGAGAGGTGTATTCTGTTTGCATCAAAACAGCATATGTGCAATAGATGATTGTCACCGTGTTTGTGTTGTCAGTCGTGAGACTCCTGTCATCTTCATCATTGATGGCATCACGGTAGACACAATTATAATGTTCAAAAATATACTTTATTGCCCACAACATACATAATTCATGAGTTGTTTGTCCCAGTTTACAATTATTAGCTGTCATTCTCTATCTTATTTAACAAGATAAGTGAGTTAAACTTAGTATTGCAGCAGCATTTTATTAGCCATGTAGCAACCAAACTAAGTTTACACCTGCTGTTGAATATTTCGGTAAGGTAAGTCAAACATAACAGGGAATGATGCACTGACTTCTGAATACACAGTGTGCTTGTTCTTTCATGCTCATCAGTTTTGGTTTGTATAAATTGTTTCTCCACCACTCATAAATATGACTCAACAAAAGAGTTAAGGACCACCCCAATTTTCAATATTAAAGTATTTAATAGGTCATGTTATGATCCATATAATACTTACATATTGAATATTGGGGTGGTCCTTAACTTGTTTTGTTGAGTATATATATGGCTGCTTTGCAGTGCAATGATGATGCATATCTGTTTTAGTAAGCTACTGAAAACATAACATGTAAAGTGTTGGCATTAACTTTTAGCCTGCTGAATCAATTAAATCCTACTTGGTAAATAATTGTTGCAAGTTTTGTTTGGGGATGTCATTATGCTGCTCTCCTGTCGAATATGTTCGACAGCAGCATTGAGAGGATCAAAGGTTATTGCCTATGTTGCACAGTAAGTATTGCCAATGTAATCATTGGTGTGTGGAATGTTCATTGGTGTGTGGAGAGACCATATTATAAATTTATATGGTCTCTGGTATGTACGGATGGCTTAACCCTCTCTGGAAGCAGGTAGTGCTTTGATTTGTTGGTTAACCACAGAAATTACACTGCACACTGTCTGTATATATTCAGAAGCAATGAAGGACCTTAGTGTATACAAAATTGAGTGAGTGAGTGAGTTTAGTTTTATGCCTCACTCAGCATTATTCCAGCTATATGGCGGCACAAAATTGAGAAGCACTGACAGTGTTGCAGACTCTCTTCATCATGTCAGACTTAAAGTTAGGTACAGTTATGATTGGTGATGATTGTGTAATTGTGGGTTGTGACACAGTCAATCATGCATGGGGGGGTCCAGGAATTTTTTATTTATTTTTTTTTTTGGGGGGTGGGGGTTGTTTTTTTCCGAACCTCCGCAACCCCCCATTGTCTCCGCCAACGCAAAAAATCTTCAATGTGGTCTTATGTCATTTTTGTACTTGGTATCATGATTGAAGTACAGTACATTGTACATTGACAGGGAAATTGACTCTTGTTATAGTATCAGTAGTATTCAATCATTACGGGGGAATGATTTAACACCCAACTGATCTTCCTTCTTGAAAGTCCCCATAGTACAGCAACACAACCATGTGACAACAGGACTTTATGTAACAACATATGATATTGATTGCTCAGGAGTCCACTAGCCTGAATTTGTCCAATAGTATTGTTTTCAGTACAGCAGTGTATTGTATAAACAATTATTAGCTCAGTACAACAGACAGAATATGACTAGATTCCAGCTTAGTACCAATGGTTAAAGTTGCAAACTGCATGGGTTATGTATCACCAAGTATCATCATATTTCAGTGTATCTTGACAGCTCTGTTGTGCAGATGTTCAGATTAAATATACTCAGATGACATTGAACATTCGGTAAAATATTTTACTGTACATTTCTCGTTGTTACTCATCACTATAAATAAATACTTAATTGATGTCTGTGCCCAAACAATAAGGACTATTGGTGACTTTACTGACTCATGTTCAATGAGGATCTGTTAACGTAAAACTCTCTGCAATATTGCAGCCATGTGACTGTAAATTGAGTATGGACCACATAATCATTTGAAGGATATTGAGGGCAACGATTCACGCCACTGGGGTACAGACATGCAATCAGTTAATGTCACTAAGCAAATGGTCATAATGCATGTTTCAGCTGTTTCATAAACTGGTTTTGTGAGTTTTGGGTACAGACCAGTAACTACACATGGTCATAAGCTGATGCTGACAAATAATGCTGAATCAGTGCTTGCAACAAAGACGACAAACTGCTGATTATGTTATTCAGTCTTTATTGAGATTACTATGGCATTTCACAGCAACTTCATCATGAATAGTTCACAGATACAGCCAACTCCTGTTGTCATGGCAACCCATGTGAATATTTTCAAACAGTGATAAAAATGAACAGGATTTGAACATGTAAAAATAAATCAAAACAAAGGTAAAACATTATGCTTTGATAAGAGCAATGAATAACAAAATTTGCTATTGTTGATGTCACTGGCGATGTATTCTCAACAGACACAAGCATACTTACAGATCATAACAACATCTTCTATACATGATAAGTGTTTACTCCTAGACTACAGAACTATTATTCACACAAAATATTCATAATTTATCAACAATAAGCAACAGTTTTCTTCCACTACATAGTGAACATTTACACTTCATATAATCATCACTTGTGGTCCTGATATTCCTTTAAATTGTCATAATTTTGACACGAGTGTTCCTGTTTCAGGAAAAATATATATAAATATTCTCCTTTCTCAAGCAAAACAAACTCCACTGTTACTGTTATACCATAGCAAATATAACAGACCTTCCCACACTCACCATCAACACTTCACAGGCTTGTATGTACCTTCATCTTCCAAGGCAAGGGAGGTAACTGACCATAAAAATCTGGTTTCCACCACTGTCAAATTTATTTCATGGCTCAATTGTCGCACCACCAGTGGCTATTACAAGTTATGTCCCTTTGGTGTCCCACCTGTTCAGATTCCCCCTATCATACTACTTTCATTTGCTTCCAAAATCAAATAAATAGAAGCACCTCGTCAAGGAGATCTCACTGATAATCAAGACTAATACTGTATTACAAAGGGAAATTACCTCAAGAGTGCACTTTGATTAAAATACGGAAAAAAATAGAAAATATGTTGACAACCAATTCATGGTACACAAGCCTTACAAATTCTGCAATCATCTTAAATCTGCAGGGCAGTTTATGAACCAGGTATCTATTTCATTCTGCTACTTGGATTTGACTGCAAATCATGTAAATGCAGTCCAAAACACAACTCTAAGTTCAAGTCTACTTGGGCAAGGTTTGAAACAGGACTTGAGTTGTAAGTTAGTGCCCATGCCTCAGGAAGATCATACCTGCACACACATCCAACAAGCCTGTGATCCATGAGTGTTGACACTGGAACATGGACTACCCATATCCAGCAATCGCCCGGTATACAAGGTCACAAGGAGATCATAACAGATAATATATGTAAACATAAACAAAATGTGTTTGTTGTTGAATAAATAGTCGTGCAAATTTAACCAAATACTAATTTGAATACAAAAATACATATCAAATTAAAAAACGAAGTGAAAGTTTAAGGGGACGTCAGTGGGCAAGTTATTGAATGGGATAACAAAGCAATTCTGGCAAGCTTTCAACTCTTATATTCAAAATATACTGGACAAAAATAGGGATATATGTAAATTTTGAAATTATGAATAATGATCTATTTATTCATGGACACACTGATACAATATCAATCATAAAAGTACCAATATCCCTAAATTATTTTGTCCAGTATATGACCTCGGCTTCAAGTATCCTCTATGTCAAACATGTTTGTACGAGAAA